ATCCATCCATCCATCCATCCATCCATCCATCCATCCATCCATCCATCTTTTATCTGGTTGGTCTTGTTCAGACCCAGGAGGATCAGAACACTGTGTTGAACAGGATGTTAAATACAATCACAGTTTATTAGCAGAGGAAAGCCTTCACAGAAGGAAGGCTCATCTCCCTCCACCTTTCATGYCAGAGTTTTAGACTAAGCTCGTCTTCCACTGGAACACTGAAACTCAAATTATTCAGTCTCATGATCCAGTGTTATACACATGATCTCACAAGGTTTGTTAGCAGTGGAGTGTTGTTTAAAGAAATTCCATCAGTGGTTCATGAGKTATTTTGCTAACACTACATGCAGCTTTGCATGTCCACAAAACCAATGTATCTGGGACACTGGCCCATCCTGTTCAGGTGAACAAGGCCTGTTAATGTATCACCTCATCCTGCTGGAGCTCAGTCTGTTACAGATTCATTTCCAGCTTATCCTAAAACAAAGTGTTTTTATATTTAACACGAGCCACACGGTCTGCGTCTTTGGATTGGTGCGTTCTTCTACTGTTACTATGCAAACTTCCTCGGCTGTCATGTGCTGAGCTTTCCTGTCTTTAAGACAAGCCAACATGATGTGACAGTGTGGGGGGCAAAAGTAATCACACTGTCATAACTAATCCTGCCAGCATGAAGCTGGCCTGACAGAGCCATGCCATGCTGTCCCAGTCCCACAGTCCATGTCCAGCCAGCAGTGGATGTCAACACTCATCTCATTCACAAATCTGTTTGGTTGTTTTAAAACTAGGGCTGCAACGATTCATCGATTAATCGATGACTAATCAATTATTAAAATAATTGATGGCTAATTTAATTATCAATTAATCGTTTTCTTTTTTTATTTTGATCTTTACTTTGTTTTTCTCTCCAAACTACTTTCTTCCACTGCCACATCTGCCTTTCTGTCCTTGACACATATGCACAGTAGTGGTAACTGGGGTAGGCCGTRGACGTCACAAGACATTATACAGACAGGCTCTGGTATCATGGCTACCTGACAACAGAGCTCAAAGTGTGGGATCATTTTAAGAAAATGAAAGAGAAACCTGTGTAATATCTGCAGAGCAGAACTTACCTTCCACAGAAATTATTTTTAGTTAGCATGTAGCTAAAATCTAACAATGGTTATATAATAGCAGCTGCATTCTGACGTGATAAGCTCTATGTTTTATATTCAATTAACCCCTCTAAATTCACTGTTGGTGGTTTATCAGTATTGCACCTGTTCATTGGGTAAAGTTATTAATATTAGTTTTAAACATGAAGTTGAAGCTCATTATTTGATGTGTTAAAATTAAAAATAAATCAATAAAAAAATACAAAAGGAAAAAGTACACCCTGTCCAGGGTGTACCCCGCCCCTCGCAC